GCAGTGGGTTCTGAAACCCACAAGGAGGTGTTACCTTTAACCAGACAGCAGTGTCAACCGGGGAGCCTGAAGGTCAATAGTTACCATGGCTGACAATCTAGGCTCTACAGCCACCCACCCCTCTGTTAGGGCAACATCTTTTGTTTTACTGCTTTGACCTCAACAAAGGGATCCTGGGAGTTTTTAAGCATGTCAGAATCTTGTGCGTCACTAAAACGTGCAACCAAATGAGGAGCTGGCTTAGGTTCTGGTCATTTGATGCCAAAGGAATAAATAAAGTGGGAGAGATGAGTTCCACCAAGCACACTGATCAAAGCTGAACGCTGGATGGAATGCAGCCTTCTGCATCTTGCACATCTTTCACAGGCAGCACAGTGACAATAGAAAGTCCTCATGCAGACAAAGCATGGAGCAAAATGCCACAGCTCTTATAATGGAATAATAACCTTGTCCAGGACGTCTGTTTTCCCTGATTTTTAAAATATATTAGACTATGCAAACAGACTGCTGCTTCTGTGTTGGCAACCGAGCATCCTGTCCTACCACTGGGGCATCACAGCTCCTTCATTACTGACTGCTGTCCAGAACAGCTCTCAGGACTGCGTCAGCACCACAGGCAGCTTTCAGCTGAGTAACTGAGAGAGACTGAGGGTAGGCACACCCCAGGCACTGTACAGGGGCGTCACTCGCAGTTATTAATGGGAAGCAGGTGAGGCTATAGTCTAGGACCTTCCTTGCTCTCTGGCTGGTGGTGCTTCTTTCAGGTGGGTTAGGCAGAGGACAGAGGGGGTTTTCTGGGTGGTCCCCTTACAAACACCCCCTCTGTTCTTGCACGTTTCCTTTTAGGGGAATAGCAGCATTGGCTCCTGGGTCCGCGCTGTTGTCTGGCTCCCTGCAGGAACACAGCTGTGCGCCAGCAGGATTGTGTGATGGTTTGTGGGTTTGGTTTCCAAACTGTGGCTTAAGGGCCTCGATGTTCTCCCAAAACAGCTCTCCCCCTCCCACAAAAAATAACCCAACCAAAAACTCTTGATACACTTCTCCCATTGTCCCTCATCCACCCTTGGTCTAGTTATTCACTTTGGCCTGAGATGTAAGGAAGCTCAGTAGTTCCTTGTCTATAATAAGCCACCATTTCAAATACAGAAACTCGTCCATCAGTCAACATCTCCCACCACCTTTCACTAACGCTACACAAAATGCACCGCTCCCTCTGGGAGGCCTGGCCACCAACATGCATCAGAATCATGTGTCCCAGAGAGGAGGACAGAGGGTGGATGGAATTTTCCTGGGAATCATGTACCCTTATTAGTGTCTCAATGTCAGACTTCCATCCTCTGTGAGGTTTCTAAGAATTCAGTCGTAAACGGAGATGGAAAAAGTAGATCTATCTGAAGAGAACAGATGTTAAATGAAAAACAGAACAGGGCTGCTGGCCTTGTCCACACTGTGCCTTGCAGAAGGCTTCATCACACAGCCCACTCACACTTTAAAAAGTCACAATTTACTCATGTGTAGGCTCTGTGCTTTTAGGCAGACACTTTCTGCATGCATACTTTTCACAGATACTATGGCAGGCATAAAAATTGCAACCCCGAGTAATAGCAATATGCAGACTGCTGGCTGGAAATTACAGTTTTGGATGACATTTTTACTCAGTTTCTAAAAATCAGGTTTCTCTTTTTACGTTTTTTTTAGAGTATTCTTAGTCATCTTTTGCACTTGTTCTCTAGCAGCCCAGCTTTCATTGCAGTGGCTCAGTGGCGAGGTAATTTCACAGATACAGGTCCTGCTTGCTCAGTGGTATTATTGGAATTCATAGTGCTCATCAAAAGCTATGTGCAGGTCTTTCGATAGCTCATTGATGTGAGTCAAGGCGCCTCACTGTGCCAAAACTTGTTGACGCTGCTTAACAGAGAAAGCATTTATGTTTGGTTTTAGTGAAAAATCCCTTTTCAGTTTGTTTGACAGACAAGACAGGAAGTAGGAACAGCAAAGTGCCACTGGCAGTCTGAGCTCTTGGCTCCTGGGTTCAGTTCTGGACTGGGGCACATTCTGTGTGGAGTTTCCATGTTCTCCCGACTGGCTCACCACCTTCCAGAGACGTGACGTGTGGATGAATTGACATCTCTAAATTGTCTCGGTGTGCACGTAGGTGTGTGTGCACCCTGTGACGAAATGGGGTCTCATCCTGCTTCTGGTCCTTCGGGGGTAATCTTGTTGTTCATCCTCACAGGAATTCAGGCACTTTTATTTGAAGTGTAGACTTTTGAATTCTGTTTTATATAGTTTCTTCCCATTTTATTACTTATGGTTAAACTAGAAATACTACTCTTGCCTGAACTACAATTTGTTTTTTATTACTTAAATGTTCTTTCCAGGACTTAAGTGATTCAGATAGAAGCTAGTGTTTATCCAGAAAGAAAAAGCCACTTTTATTTCCAGTGTGCAAGACACAATTTCTCCTCCTGTAAACTGCTGACATCTGGAGTTTCTGTCCATGACACTGAATGAGAAATACATGTAGTCGATGAGTAAAGATTGCTGTTTTTTGGGTATTATGTGTTTGAACCAAAATGGAAACCGCTATACACTTTTTTGAGTGAGTGTGTTATGGCTTAAGGGGTGTGGAGGGCGTCATAAATTTGACCAAAGGGGTCTGTCATCTCCTCACTCGGGCCTGCAGCTATTTCGAGAAGAGGATGCTAAGTTTCCAGACGGCACAACGAAAAAAAATCAGACAGCTGGAACTGCGAAGACAGACTTGCAAGGTTGTTTAACTTGTGGGCCGGTCAGTCATTATCATCAGGTGGTTCTGTCGTTCTGCAGACTGTCCCCCGCAGTTGAGTGAGTCAGAGGCTGAGACTGAGTTCCAGCTGATCCAGCTGCTGCTGTACTTACTCCTTGTTCAGCTGGGTAGTTTGCAAGGGGCCACGAGCTTTTTGCAATTTCACTCAGAGTTAAAGAAATCCAATTCACTGGAAATTAAGATATTTTCAGAGGTTAAAGGATATGCAGCCTACACTGCAGGGATATCAGTGTAGCCAGGAGCTGTTTTGCTGGATATAACTGGATAGTCCCAAGAGCTTTATCACACAGTGGGATACTGTGTGTAGTAACACTACTACTAAACGAGAAGCTGACCAGAGGTCTTCAGTATGTAGTGTGTAAATAAGAAACAAGCTGATTCTGGTTCAAGAGCAACCACATGGATGCTGCAGATCTGTATTCACATCAAGGGAGAAACTACAAAAATGTGGGGGGAAAGAACATGCAAACTCCAGACATACGGTCCAGCCAAAAACTGAACCCAGAAGCCAAGAGCTGTGGGGAAGGGGCTCTAACAGCCAGGAGAAGAGCTTGACGTTTGAAAAATGATCTGTACAGTCCTGGACGTCAAGGTATTTTTGGGAAATTCAGATTGGTAGATTTCAAGCTTCCCGTTTTTTGTGATAAGCATTGCTTTTTAATTGCACAGGCTACAGTATGTGTTTCATCTGGTATTTTCTCATCTGCTGCCAAAGGAATATTGAAAGGTAGATCATATACAATAAAGCTTTTTTGCAGAGGTCGAGCAACAAGCACATGTGGGTATCACTGATTATATAAGTGGGTGGGGAATGTAATGTTTAGCACAGCTTGCAAAACCTTTTTACCAGCACACTGCTGGATTGCTTCACTCCTAAGCTCTTCCTCATACCAAACTCTTCAGAGAAATGATTTAGTTGTCATGAAAAGGCATAAGCCCAGGTGGCACTATGGAAGATCAAGAATAAGTGAATGCAGAAGTGCAGATGAATATTCAGTAGTCTTCCAATAGCCCACACCCAGTGATATTCTCAAGAACTGAGAACTTTAGTATTTTCATGTATGAGAACAAAATAAAGGAAAGGCAGTGGTTAAGTCATTTATCTAAAAAGTTTGTGCTTCACACGTTTACTCCTTCAGGGATTTTTGTTATCGATTTTCTGAATCATCAGGTGGTAAAGACACCTCAGCTTCAGTCAGATGGGCGCTGTGTTTAGTCACTGCTGTTCCTCCCAGGTGCTCTTCTGCTTTCAGTCTGTTCTGGTGTATCTGGGGCTGCGTCTGCTTCTTAACTTCAGCTGCAGGGAGGGGGGTCTGCTTTGTAATGTAAATAGAGGCACACGCAGCAGCTCAGTGGGTGCAGATGTCTGCAGGAGAAGCCTTTGCCAGGGTTTCTGGAGAGCGACCCTTGCTATTGTCTGTGGTTGACCTCTGGCCTCGGTGAGAGAGACTGCGGAATGAGCACCAGCAAGGTTCTGAAGCCAGGACCCTCTGCAGAGCGCAGATAAGGCTCGGGGGCTGGCGCATGGCAGCTGCCTGGCTACAAGATGCGCAGAAGCGGGGCAGCAGTGTGGCTGCAGGGGTGGAAGTGCGCGCGAGAGCTGCAAGGCGTGCTGCGTCGCGTTTCAGAGGTGTGCTCCAGCTCTTCGCGTGTGTGATGTGACTTCCGAGAAGTCAGCCTGTCTGGTTAAACACGCTGTCGATTAACCAGCCTGAGCGACTGTACCGTCCCAGGAGGATTCCAGTCCTTACTTTAAAAAGAAACTGATACGTTTTGCAGAAATGCATTTCTAAATATGGGGCAGGAGAGGCGGGAAAGGCCCTTGCATTAATACTCTGTGGTCAAGTATGTACTGTGATGATATAAACGACAGAAGGAATAGTTTGTGGTTTGCAAAAAAATCTGTATTTTACAGTAGGCATTTGCTTCTTATGTGGCTTCTTTGCATGGCGGCATTTAGGTTCGGTTCCCTTTTTAACCTGGAGAATGTATTTATTACAAAGGAGTAAGTGCTGGCTGTCACGGTGGTTAGCACGGCTGCCTTGCAGCGATGGGGCCCTGGGCTGCTACAGTATCTGCATGGAGTTACGTATGTTCTTCCTGTGTTTGTATGGGTTTCCTCCGGGTAATCTGATTTCCAATTTTTTTTTTCTGCAGTCCAAAGTCTTGGTTTATTGGCCCTGGTGCGAGTGTGTGTATCTGTGTTTGTGTCTGTGTCTGCCCTGTGATGGACTGGTGTCCCATCCAGGGTGTATCCTGCCTTGCGTCTGTTGCTCGCTGGGGTAGACTCCAGCGCCTCCGCGACCCTGAATTGGATCAGGTGGTTATAAAATGGACGGACAGATGGAGAAAGTGCTAAGTGTGGTACGAGTGGACAGTGGATCCTGCAGGAGAGAAAAAAACCCACTGTGAATTGACAAGTGGCTCAGCCAGAATACTGACACAAGGGTCTTAGCAGCCAATCAATGACTGGCAATTCTAATTAAAGGGGGCATAAAAAAACATCTTAAAATTGAGTAAAAGTCCGCCTGTGTTCCCATAAAGTACCTCGTTGCCTTCCGTCATGGTACTGATAAGCCATTTGTAGAGGATGGGGAGGGTCGGCGTGGAGCCTCTTATCTTGCACTTTGAGTTGAAAGGAGCAAGTTGTGCTGTCTTCTGGGGGGTGACCTTTGACCCAACATGTGATGGAGACAGTGACCCATGCTGGCTGGGCTCCGGCAGATGTCTGAACAAGAGGGATGGAACAGGGTGTCCAGACGGTAGAGCTGACTTCACTGCTGTGTGCCAGGAAAGAGAGGAGCAGGAAACAGTTATTGATTGGACATGAGAGGTAAATTACTTGATTGACTCGCAGACAGGATATGAGCACTTGCATGGAGAGAATATCGACACAACTCAGTTAGAGTAAATAAATAACACCCCTGATCTTTCGTGGGTCATTACGGTGAGGGATTTGTTAAAGGGTTTCTCAGAATCATTTACCGTAAAGTCAGACCAAAAGCTTTATTCCGTATTAACAGTTTCACTGCAGACACGGGAGACAAGAAAACTAGATATTCCAGTTCCTAATGTTTCCGAGTTTGAAAATCACTTATCGGAGGTTTTCCATCAAGGTATGGGAAGAGAGAGGGCTTACGAGCCAGGCTACTTTAAAGCCTTGAAGTCTGGCACTGAGAATCAGGATTGAGTGTTTTAAAAGTACAACTAATACTCCCTGTTCCCTGTTAAATAGGAGTTTTGATCTTGGTTTTCCTTAAATCAATTTGCTGGGCTGTTTTCCACCAAACCACCACAATTGGATTATGATTAGTAGCATCAAAAATCGAATTTCCCAGTGTGATGTGGGATAGGGATCGGGAGTCTGCAAGGGCGTAGTGCCCTCTGGTTCGTGCGTCATTGTTCTTTCAGAAGAAGTCCGCTAAGGGGACATTGTCAGTGCCTTTGAGGATTTTGAATATTGTATCAGGTCCCCTCACCTGTTCAAGACTGAGATGGTGTTCCTTCAGCCTGTCAGTGAAGGACAGTCTGTCAAGCCCCAGTATGTATCCTGTTGGAACTGAAATACACACATGCAAAACTCTAAAAATGGGATTTCATTATTTCCCACTGGGCAACTTACACTGGCACATTTTTCAAAAAGATGCAAAGAAATGCAACTTAATGTTTTAGCTCCACTTTTCTCCAGCAAGAACACACTTCTAAAGTACAAGCTCAGAGAAAAGACTGTTTCGTAAATCAGGCTGAGACCTGGTCGTGAACACCAGCCTTTCTTTCCCCTGCTTGTGTTAGCTGTAAACAATCTGGCATGTGATCTTCAGACATTAGCTGTACACATTAGTCTCCCTGCCCCCACACCACGCAGTACACCAACAACATTCTTTTATATAGCGCCTTTAAAAGTAGTTTCTCAAAGCACTTTACAGGAAGGTGTAAAAACAGTTAATAAAGATAGGATATAAAAATAGCACAACAGACACAAGGAGCAAGGAGCAGATGCAGGCAACAATTACATAAAAGCCTTGTTAAACCTGAAGAAGAAGGTTTCGAGTTTGGATTTGAAGGCATTGAGGGAAGGAGAGTCTTTGACATCCTTGGGGACAGAGTTCTGGGGCAAAGCAATTTCAGTGGTAGAGCAGTAATTCCATTCCAGCAGCAGTGCAGTAACCCTGCAAATCATTTACTGTGGCTGTTTGGTTTTTCATCACATTAGATTTGACCTACTAACTCTTCAGCCATGTTGCCTCATAGTTTTACTCAATTCCTTGAGGGCCCAGTGTCCTCTGGCTTCTATTCCAACCTAATACATTCCATGACTTTATTTTCTGGGTCTTATTCTTTAATTTACAGCATTTATTGTAATACTTGTTTTATAAATACAGTGACTTGTAAAAGGCACATAAAATATGTGACTTGGAAAATAATTCAGTTAATTGTTGACCTGACCTCTCTGGTGGTAAGACAAGCCAGCGGGCCCCCGGCCCTCCAGGGGGCGGGTCCTCCCCTCCCCGATCTGGCTGCGGTGCAGGTTCTGTGATCGGCGTTGCCACGCGCCTCAGCGCCTCTCTGAGGGCGTCTCCGCTGGTGATGAATTAGCCGCGCGGGCAGGCGCTGTGCCGTTGTGATGGTAATGTGGCACACGCCGCCGGCCGAGCAGGTGCTCCACAGCCAGGGGGGCGCCTCCGTGAACCACCTTGATGTCATGAGCCCCCCACACTCAGAGCACAGCCCTCCCCCCCTCCTGTCACCCTGCCTGCACTGATTAATGACTGCTCTGTGGGGTCTGTCCTAACTTCTCCTTTCTCCGGGCTTTGTCCTTTCTGTGCTCCGTGCTGTTACACTTCCCCAGAATGGCAGCCCTCCTGCCAGAGTGTGCCTGGGCCTTTTTCATTAATAACGAGGGGCTTGCACCAGGCTCAAGACCCCAGCTTTCGCTGAGTGGAAGTATGATTTCCATCTGAAGAGATTTAAATCCCTTTCTTAATGAATCTCCTCATTTTGCTGCAACTGGGGCTGATGCCTGCCTGGTGTGATCTATAGGTAGCGGTAGACCAGTGGTGCTGCCACATGAGTCCTGTTTTTCTTCTGTTAATTTCCAGTCGGCTATATTTTTTAACATAGAAATTCCATTGTTAGGGCTCTTAGTGTGTGAGAGACACAGGAAAGGCGCAGAAAATCCTCCAAAATGTGTATTGCTGTCCAATTTCTACTAGCCGCCAAATGAGCTAAGTGGGGAAGTGGACGTCCTCTCAATTAAAATCTTCCTTAAGTTCCCTTGTGGACCCCAGCTGATGCCATGGCTGCTTGGTGAAGCAAAACGTACTCACTCTCAGCACTACTACTACTCAGCCAGCAAGTTAAATATGGTCCCAACCTTTTCCTTAGACTCCACAAAATGCTTCAAAAGCAGTCTTCTGGTGGCAAAGTCTGGACTTGAACCAGCAACTTATTGCCCACCCCCCACACCAGGCTATGGGTCCTGTCCTCATTTATGAACAGCGGCTTTTACCAGGCAAACCACTTGAGAACTCCTCCTCCATCAGCCATCCCCTTTCCTGTCCATTCATCCATCCATTAGTCATCACAGAGACACTCATCCTCATGAGGGGTGTGGCAGTGGAATTGTGTGCCAGAAGCACAGGGGTCAAGAGGGCGCAGAGGCCCTTCATCTAGTTACTGTCTCCCTGAATTTGGGCTACATTCAGGTCCATCTTGGGAAATTCAGATCCCAGCCAGCATGCCTCTGGGAGTCTGGGGATAAGCGGAGCATGTAGAGCCAATTCATACGAGCTTGGTGAGAACATGCAAACTCCACACAGACACGCACATGGATCTGTTATGCCATCGTGCTGTCCATTTCCGTTTTCTCCGTTAGACATTCTGGCACAGTCTGTGATGTGCAGCTCACAGTGCCCGCAAGCCTGCCAGTCTCATGTGGGTGGAGGCTGAAAAGGGCTTATTGAACCCCCAACAGATTCAGCTCTCTCAGGTCTTCTCAGTTTCTGTTTCAGAGATTTTGCACAATTGGTTCGCTGACCTGCCTGCCTGCTGTTTAGGATTAACATGGGATGCAAAGCTGGTTGCTTACAAGACTGTTGCTTAATAATGGCTTTGGGAGTCTAGCGCAGCCGTAGCTGTGGTGTCTACAAGCTCTTACTTCACACTTCACTCTGCCACAGTGTGCAGTCCTTTCCAATTGTGCAGGAAGAAGGTTCAAGACAGAGATCCAGATAAGCCCACCAAGTGAATTGATTTCAGTGACTACTTATTATTTCTATTAACAGCTGTAGTGGAGGAGTCTATTTTAAATAGAAATATTTCCTTTATTTCTTTTTGTTACAAGGGGGACTTGGTAAATTGATCTTTCATGTCGTGATTATCTCTGGTGTATGGGTCACTGTGAGAAATAAGGTGAGCAAAACGAAAGGGCGCCTACTTGGAGGACCTGATAGAATACAGATGTGAGCATCTGTATCTGCAGATGAAATATGTATTCGCTGCCCACTAATCCGACAAGATACGCTCCTGTCTAGTGCAAATCTGGGACCAGGCAATGCTTGAAAAACTCACTGAATCCCTCTATAATGGAGCATCTCTTGCCTTTCACATTAAAACGACCAAATACCAATATATTCCATTTCTTCTTCATCTTCTTCTCTGTGGCTTTTTGTCCTGCTCTCTTTTGTCGGGCTGCCTATTTTTATTTACAGTAGGACATTTTATATAAGTGCTTTCTGATTCAGTGTGGCTTCCTTGAAAGTGATTTTCCCCATGAACCTGATCTTCAGAGAAATCACCAGGACATTTCAGCACAGACTTCTGAGAAGGCGAAATGCCCCGCAGGGAATCAGTGTTCGCCGAGGTCTGGCAGAGTTCCCGTCATGTGCAGTTGATAAATGATTGAACTCTTTGCATGCTATGCCGACTCCTCGTGGAATGTAGATCCTGTCACATGCTGTATCTGACTGGAAAATGACTGTGGTCCTTTGGTTGCCGTTTCATTTTCTTAAGATTGGAAATTGTCCATTTTTCTTTTTCCTGGGCTACCCTTTCAATTGGGAGTCACCAGTTTTTCACCAAACTGGCTCCACACTGGGGGCTTTGAATGATCGCAAGGAGAAACAAGTTCAACACTCCTGCCGTTCTCCCCACTGTGCTCTCCATCCTGCCTTACAGAAGAGGTTCTAGGAATTGGAGAAAGGGAATCTCATCTGTGACAGCACCCAGGCTCACAAGTGACAGGCAACGTGTTTTTCCTTCCTATACCAAGAGAACAAATGCTCTAGTCCAGTGTTCTTTACTGCTAATCCTTTTGGGCACAGAGTCCTCTTTGTTTCCTTCTATCCGAACTCTTAAGCAGTTCATTAAACTCATTGTTCAGGATAGAGAAGCAGTTAGATTTTCTTTTCAAGTCTACAGCAGACCTGTAAAGAGACCTAGGAAAGACGCTGGCTGCACCCCTTGAAGAGGAAGTTTTAACTTAAATAATAATCCTTTAGTGACAAGTTTTTAAGTGTCTAATTTCTGTGTATTTGTAATAAGGCATTTATACAGTATTTGAGACATAAGAAAAGGGCATCTGTTTGTGAATACATCAGCTATAATTAACCCTTTAATATAATGCTGGCTGTAGTATGCTTTGCCATTTCTCTGATTTCTGTGGCTAAGACAACACATTGTTTGTAGACACACCGGTATACACTTTACAGCAGTCCACATTCAGAGCTGCACACAGGTCCTGTTAATCCTATACTCATTCTGACATAAGCTGACCCTTCCACAGCAACTGTGGAGAACAGGGCTCTGAACAATGAGGAAGCTGTGATCTATGGCGGACTGATATGCCAGGAATCACTTCTTGCACAATACTGTGCCTTTTCAGGGAGAGGAAAGAGGAAGATGAGAAAAAGCAAACAGTGAAGTGAGGAGCGGTGCTCCCTGGTGCCAGAGGAGAAGAGGACCAATAAGAGACAGATCTGCTGTTGGCAATGCCTCGTGGGTAATAAGAAGAAGTATTATCTCATGTTTAGCAATGTCATGGCACAGTGAGACAAAAGGCAGCAGTAAAAAGTCATGGCTGTATTTAAGGAAGAAAGTATCACTTGACTTTTATGTTACTGTAAATTCCAGTAAAATGAAGGATGGTGCACACTGCCTGCCGTCACGATCAATCAACGCTACAGGTCTGTCCGTGACACACAGAGCTAGCTCAGGTCTCCAGCTGGGTGCTTTTTCACCAGGGCCAAGCTAAAAGAACAAGCTCTTCCATCATCGAGAGTATGGGACAGATTGGCCTAGTTCTTGCGCTGTTTTCTCCTTTATTTGAGGATGACGTTTATATTGAAGTCATCTATCTTTATTCTCAGTCACATCTTCCAAACTGTCCCATCCCAGCCCATGGGCAGCAACCAACAAAGAAGGTATTTCTGGGATGGATTTAAAAAATGCCCACGATTAATTCTGAGGGAAAGCCGAGAAGCAATGACTGTACACGATCAGGCCAGAAAATCTGTGAAACAGATGATTCTCTTGGAAGTTTAGTTTTCTGCTTCACTAACCTTTTTAATTAACAAAAAGTCTTGCATGGGAATGTTACCTGTTATTGCCTGAAAGTCCATAAAGCACAGTTAGATTCATATTAACAGTAGATGCAGTTGCACAGTAGATGTATATCAAGGATTTTAGCCTGTCGCTATCTCCACGGGGACACGTCTAGCTTTCTGTATGAATAGTTCCCCTACAAATGATTCACATAAAACCTGTGTGGTAGATCATGTAGATCCTCAGTATCTCTCACAATCATTTCTATAATAGCTCTTGTAAAACATTCATGTTTAATATTATGCAATGCAAAAGACAGACAACAAAAAGTAGATAACCACAGTGTTTCTTTAGGACACAACAAGATGTACGATGTGTGATCAGATTGTTTTCCAAGTCCGACCTCACGGTACAGTATTCTGTAAGCAGGAGTGGAAATTTCTTCATTCCTCTACAATGCCCTCGGTGAACCTGCACACACTGCCAAGTGTTTGTGTTTAGTGCCTCCAGCATTGTCACTATAGTACATTACAAGCCAAAATAATGTCCAAAAACAACACTCTAATACATTTCATATGCTGGCCTCATGGATTTGGGAATATTTCGTAACATGGACAATTGGGCAGCTTTGCTAGACTTTTACTCAGGCACACTAAACTCGTGACGCTGGTTTTCTCTGCTCGCTTCTGCGCTCGCCATTTCTACTGTAACAGGAAGTTTATTGTGGTGAGATCAGGAAGTGGCGGTGAAGGTGTGGGGGGGGGGGTTGGTGAGCAGCTGTCATGGTTTTTCTGTGTCGTCGGGTTGCTTTATGCAAAGGCATCAGTTCCACTGCGCAGTGGGTGGCCGGAAGGGGGGACCCCTGTGTGGGAGTGGATGGGCACTGGGATTCCGAGACCAGTTCCGTTCCGCTTGGAAAAGCCAGTGAAACGTCAATCCGATAACCTGCTATTGGAGGAACATGCAAAAGAGGGGCTCCCCAGCTTCTCCAGATGGTGCGATTAGATTGTGTCCTGTATTTATTTTGCCAGCTCATCTCACAGGGGCATCCCTGGAATTCCCCTGGGCAACATGCTCATTTGACTGCTCAGGCAAATTTATTTTATTAAAATCGCCCCTGCCCTCGTGGAGGACAGTGAAAACCTGATTAAGCTCCTAGACGGCCTTTGGTCTGTGTGTGTAAGGGGACACCCTGCTTTGCCTAATGCAGCAGAGGTGAGTCTTGCTGATAACGATGTTGGGTGGAAACCCCAGTGCAGTCAAGCAGGGAGAAA